GCATAATAACCATGGAGATCAACTAAAAGCTCCCAGTGCAGCTCCTGACAGCTTTTTCTGCTCACATAAAACCTCTCAGTGAATGGTCCCCAGCCTTCAAAGTCCTACATGCACCAATACTAAGCAAGTCATACATTGCAGGCAATTATTTTGTCCTCAGTTTTAATTTTCTAAATTTTCTCTGGCCATAAGCAGTCTTGGAGACTTAGGGCTTTAAATCTTTCCAAAGCTGTCTAGGCTTTGAAAAAGAGATGATAATTCTCTGCTGAACAGGAACTGCTGCTTTCACTGCCCGGGTGACTCTTTCTCTGCAATTCAGGCAAAGTCTAAGAAAGATCTTCTTGTGCCAGTCTAGTACACTTTCCAGGATGTCAGAAAAGTAATACAAAGTACTGAAGGAACCATACAAAATATTGATTTCCCTGCAAATCACTGAACCCATCAACACATGGTTTAGTTTAGCCTTGAAAGCAATGCTGTTAGAAAGATTCAGACAAAATATTTCTGTTTTCTCTGGCACAAAGGCTGAAAATTATCACCTCTTTTTCAAAGCCTGCACATACTTTATATTCTCTTCTTGTTCTTCATGCCTGTTTTCCATGATGAGACAGGAAATATTATTTTTTTGAATTACTGATTGAATTATATTATCCTTTTCTGGCCCTACATTCAAAATCTTACACTAACCTGGCAAAACCCAGTTCTGTCACAAGCAGTTAGGATTTGGTAGGTGTTCAGAAAGCAATGCGACCCTACACAGGGATCCTCCCTGATATCTACACCAGGCAGACAGTCTGCTTTCCTGCATATCCTTGGAAACCATCGTTTCTCACAGTTACGACTTCAGGGCATAAATATATTATAAGGACAATCATGCGATATCAGGCAGTGAATTTGCCTACTTCATCAATCAATACATTTTTGAGGATACAGTGCTTGCAGTCCAGACACAATCTGCAAAGTTAAAATTTAAAGGCATAGTATTGTTTACATATACAGAACTAAATATCACATTTCCATTGTAAGAAAGATCCTCAGTGCCTCCAGTGAGACTGGAGAGAATATTGCAATGTATTCCTTAGACTGGGACTCTATCCTTTCAGCCCTTTTCAGGCATCATCTCAGGAGGTCTCATTAGCTGTTGCTCATGCAATAGATTTGTCTTCTTTGGAAGAACAGCTGTGCAACCAAAAGTTAAAATTTTCTAAATGAAAACATGGCCAGTTACTTGAGTCACCCCACTTGCTGCTCTTGTAATCCAATTTTCATTGACTTCTCTGGATCTGTATCCACACTCGACACACCTGAAAAATAGAAGTTGTAAGTTTTTCAGCTGAATAGGCCAAAAAAAAGATGCATTGAAACTTCGTGGAATTTTTTTTAGAAATACCACTTCTTTGTGACTCAGTTTGCCAGTCTGTATGACATTTACATAAATATTTACCCAACTCGCCAATGGCTGTGAATCTTCATGAATCATTGTTTGTGTAACACTTTGTAATCCTTGAATGAAACGTAGCATATGCACTCAGAGTATGGATCTGATTAATGGCAGAGGATAAATGAAAAGAAAAATAGATAAAAAATTAACACATCACATTTTTTTCCCTTGTTCAAAATTGGTTTCAAAGAAATTCTCTATTACAAATGCAAATCTTTCTTTCTCACACAGACGTAATATGGTTGGTACACATCTTGGTGAAGAAGATTAGGATACAGCCTGCTGTTAATCAGCATATTCAAATTTGTTCACTTTTTTTAAGATAAAAAGCAGGTGTTGTTAGCATATAGTATTTGAAATTCATGTCTACATCACTTTATTTTACTTTTTCTATATAGAATTATCAAATAGAATGATTTAAATTACAAGGTCCTTTCTGGCAAAATTCTTTGCTTCAAGAGATGGGTAAACTAAATGAGCATACTGGCTGCTTCACTTAGCTGTCATCTCTCTAAAGGCTATATGAGTAAGCCTGACACACTTCATCTCTCATGTTATCATCATCTACATGCTTTTGTTATTGTCTTCTGTGTTAAACTTTATGGCATCTTCAGTCAAAGGAATACAAGTGAAACAAAACGTGGCACTGTAAATGAACAAAATAACTAGGACAGAGGTTTAAGAAATGATCATAAAGCTTGTGTGCAGACTGCTTTAGTTGCTATAATATCAGCACACGAGAGCCATGTAATACACCATCTCAGGACAATTCTGTATTTGACGCCTGTCCTGAGCTAGGCACAAAGATTTGCCAGCTGTTCAATATTTCCAAGTAGAACATTGACACAGATTTGAAGCATCACAGTGATTATGAAATCATTGTGATACTTGAAATAGATACTCAGACATAGCAAGAAAATAGTTTTTAATTTGGGGATACAGATTTCTTAAGCAAACAAAATTATATTGGAAATCTATTTTGTCACCCCACCCTTCTGTTCACCGCAGCAGGATGGTTCTTTAAAACAAAATTCTATAGTGTTCTGCAGCTCAATTGTAGGAATGCATTTGCGGGGGGAGGATATCTGCAGGAAGTCCCCATATACCTGTCAGTTGCACAGGACACAGTCCTAGGAATGGAATCAGCACGTACTTGAATGTGCATGGAGATCAAAGAGAGGAATCCATCACTAAATCACATAATTCAGGATCATGCTTAAATCGGGAAAAGAAGCAAAACTTGTGGATTGAGATAAGAACGGTTTAACAGAACAGAAAAGAAGAAACTAACAATGATAATGATAACACTACTAAAATGACAGCATTAATAATAAAAGGATTGGAATATACAAATGATGCGCAGTGCAATTGCTCACCACCTGCTGATCAATGCCCAGTTAGTTCCCCGAGTGGTGATCCCCCCGCCCCCCACTCCCCCCAGTTTATATACTGGGCATGACATCACATGGTATGGAATACACCGTTGGCCAGTTTGGGTCAGGTGCCCTGGCTGTGTCCTGTGCCAACTTCTTGTGCCTCTCCAGCTTTCTCGCTGGCTGGGGATGAGAAGTTGAAAAATCCTTGACTTTAGACTAAATACTACTTAGCAACAACTGAAAACTTCAGTGTTATCAACATTCTTCTCATACTGGACTCAAAACATAGAACTGTACCAGCTACTAGGAAGATATTTAACTCCATCCCAGCTGAAACCAGGACAAATGGTGACAAGCTCTGCTCAGACAAATGCTGTCCTCCCATCTGCACCTTTACCTGAGCATCCCATTCACATAGACTGTATAACACCTCCCAGAAGACATAGCTGGATGTTTGCTTCATGACACTGTACACCTAAGGTAATCTGAGCTTGATTCTTCTGAGAACAAAAGCTGTAGTGATGATCAGACTCACTAATTACAGCATTCTTTTGTCATCTGCTTGCTACTGGCTTTGGAAAGGCTCCATTTCACCACATACCAGTGTTTGGTGATTTCTTACACCAAGATCTCATATAGTTTCATATAAACATTTGGGTTTCCAAATGACAAGAGGTGAGATGCCTTTTCCTGTGGAGTGAGGGCAAATAGGTGTTTAAACCGAAATCAGACTTCATGTGTTCCAGTAGGCAAGAGTACTAGGAGAAAGGTATGGCCTTTTTAATGCAAAGCTTTTCCCCACAAGCAAAAAAGTTTGATCAGCTCAGTCAAAGTAATAAAGAAACACAGCAGCTGGTCTTGCAGTACTTAATCCACTATTGTTCCTTTGATATCACAAGTATCATTATACTTAGTATGCTTCCATTACAATAATTTTCTTTTAAATGCACAGCACTGTCACTAGTTGCCTAACGTATTATGGTTTCTTAATTTACACTTAGGCTAATAGAGCCAGAAGATCAAACACTAAGAAATAAAAACTTTTAGCTGATCCACAGGTCTTAGGCAAACAGCTAGCAGACTAAAGATGAGGGTGTGGTTTATCACACCCTGATAATGCCCAGCTGACAAAAGGGTCCCCTGATGCCCAGGGCAGGTGAGGAAGATTGAAAGCAGTCTGAGAAGGTTTTAATTTATGCTGAGAGTAGCCTGTTTTATCCTGAGCAAAACCTGAACAGATTGATAGTCTGGACTATAGTTTTTGAAAACTGAGGTAAGAAAGTCCCTTATGTAAATGGGGTGGTGTGTGTTTTTATTCCTTCCTTTTCTTTCACTACTACAACTTTTAAGACTATTCTGGGAGTACTAGGATTGTTAGGTAAAACATGTTCTTTCTTTTGTCTCTTTTAAGTAAAAGAATACAAGTATAGCTAAAGTATTTCTGCCACCATTTGTATTGTCACAAAATGAAAAAAGTTACTTGTTAAAAAGAAAAAAATGCTATAAAAGTATTAACTAAAGTGTAAATCCTTATGGTGCATTTAATAGTGCTTGGCTCTTCACAAGAGCATAGCATGTGGACTTTTTATCAACCTTGTCTTTATCAGTAAATTGTGCAATAAGAGCTTCTATCCACAATAATGAGGGACCTGAGCTTTTGATTTTTAACCAATGTCTGAGCTAGGCATGTTGCTATCTGTTTTTTTGCTGCTTCTGTCACCTTCTTTCCAATGCTAAATTAATCATGCATGTGACCTTGCTGGTTTTTATTATGTATAGCAGGCTGTGTGAGCTATTGCTGGAAAAGTGTGATATTGCTCAACTAGTGGGGTCCTGTATCTAGTTCTTCTAATATGTTTTTCACTGCGACTTCTAACTACAGGCTATATTTCTGCTGTCATGCACAGTTTCTTTTATTTGCCATAAATTAAAAATAATTATGCTGTTAGAAGGAAATTACAGCATTGTAATATGTTCTGTAAGTGCTTATAATCAAAAGAGCTGGGGGCTTTTTAATCCAGGCTTTAAAATGCTGGTTTGCCTCAACTTTCCATAAGAACAATGGTGCTGAATGTAGGAGGCATAGTAATCTGGGTAACTTCCATCCCAAGATATTGAGTGAATGGGTACATCAAACTGCAATTTGATAACAAGGGTCTTGTAAAAATCCAGTCAAGTCTGAAATGGCACTGCGTGACTACAGCATAGCTATGTGCTACTACATGATTCCAGAGAATGGGCAGGAGGCCATCTGGAAACTCCAAACCTTTTGGTATGATCCCCTAAATTTGCCATAGCAGTAAGGGACTAGAGTCAATGAGCCTTTCCAGCTCACGTTTTAAATTCCTCCACATTGGTGGACAGGAGTATAGCATCCTCACGCTCATGATGCATCTTGCATAATTATGAATGAATTGTCTCACAAAGCTCTGTTCCCAAACTTATTTTGGGAAGTGTAATTGAACGCTGCTCCTGAAGCCCCTGAAAATTCCCCAATACTGGGTTTACTCTGTTCAGAGATGTAGTGACCTGTGGTGGCTCCTCCAGTCTTGTGCTAGAGCAGTTCCGACAGGCTCAGGAACTGAGACCAAGTATGTGTGAGGGGGTGGAATTCACTGGGATATAGTAATTGGAAAACTCACCATAATGTACGAGGCAGGAGAAAGAACTACTTTTCTAGTTTCACTGATGCATGGAATTAAGCTGGAAACCTTACTTCAATGTGCAAAACATGAGGCAAATAAGAGATAAGATAGTAAAGCTGCAGCCTGATACCCATCATTTAGTGGGTTCCTTTGAGCATTGGACCTTGGCTGCTAATGGACAGCACGGCTGTAGTGGAGGCAGCTGAGACCTGTCCCTGCCATTCAATCAGCTCTGCAGATCGCAGCATCTGCCAGGCGGGTACATCAGGCGTGCTGATGTCAAGAAGTGGAAGAGGGACTACATAGCTCTAGCTAGGAGGTGGATTAAGTAGCAGTCGTCTTTGCCTTGAGTGTAAGACATGGACAGCACTTCCTAGTTGTTAAATGTTTAACTTAGTGACAATAGTGTTTTCACCGTACTTCTTGAAAGTGACAGTTGATTATAGGATCAAAATGACTGAAAAAGGAGATTCAGAAGAAATTACACCATATCCCTTTAACAGGCATGCAGAATGCTATTTTCAGTTTAGGCATAGGAAACACTTTGAAAAAGAGGTTAATTAGTGTTTTCAAAAGATGTCTGAAAACCCAAGACTATTGGACAATGTGGGGATGCCAATGTGTCCTGACAGCCTGCTTACGGCTTCAAAGGAACATCTGGACAGATGCATGTAGCAGTAAGGATGAACAGAAGCACAGACTATTTGCCTAGTGGCAGTAGTTACAGCACTGGGCAACTTAAAATGATTCTGTGGACACTTCAGACAAGGGTCATTATTCTCTTGGAGGGGAGAGCCGTATAAATAGACTAGCATGCCTGTGAGGCTGATTAGCAGATTTTAAACTTGGAAGATCAAAAGCCTTTGGGATATACTGCTGGGGAAGAAAGGACGCTGATCTCCTTGACAGGTAGGTGGGATGTGATATGGAGGCAGGATGCCGACTCTCAGGATACTACCCTAGCTAGCCGGGATCTTAACACCTCGGAGATGTTCCCCGCTCTCCCGTAGGACCTTAACTGTACCCTTGTGGCTGGACTCCCCTCAAGCGCAAAGAGGTATCGCCTTTCCTCGGCAAGCGTGGGGAGAACGGGAGGGAAGGTCTCGGAAATCCAGCTTCGTTTCGGGACAAAGGGAGGTCAAAAGGGGAGGAGAGGTGCATCCTTCACCGGGGACCGCCGGCAACCGGCCCCTCCCCTCCCCGCGGGGCGGGCTCGGGCCCCGCCGCAGCCTCCCCCCGCGCTCGCCGGTAGGCGGCACCGCCACCCGCCTTCCTCCGCCTCCTCTTCCTCCTCCTCCTCACCTTCGGCGGCCGCCGCGCCGGGTCACCCAGATCGCGGCGGCGGCGGCGGCAGCAGCAGCAGCAGCACACCCGCCCGGCGAGGAAGGACGGCCCGGGACGGCGGGGATGGCGCGGCGCGGAGCGGTGAGTGCGCGAAGGCGGCGGAGGGCCCTGCCGTCGGTCCCGCGGGTCGCTTAGCGACGGGAGGCGGCTCTGGGCATCGCATCGCAGCCCCCTCCGCTGCCCCTCCCCCCCCCGCTCAAAAGGGAGCGAAGTTTTGCCCCTTTGAACGCGGGACGCTCCCTGGGAAGACCTTGCGGCGTAAGGAAACTGGGGGGACGCTGGGTGGTTTGCGCATTTGGGGTTTTTGCTGTTGTTGTTTTAAAAAATTTTATTCATGTATTTTTTTAACGCCCCCATCCTATGCAACTGGCGAGGGGGCGGCTGGAGGAGGCCGGCGCTGGGCGGCAGCCAGGCGCACGGCTCTGCGGCTCCGCAGTGCGCTCCGCGCCCTGCCCCGGCAGACCGCCCTGCGCCCGGGGCCGCCGGCCTGGCTTGCCCCGCCGCGCAGCTGCCCTGAGATCTGTGGACCTCAGTTACACCGACATGTGGACGGGATAATGATGACCGCCCCCCCCCCCCCGCGGCACGCTCTTCTTCCCTGCCTCCCCTTCGTCCCCCCGCATGGTCAAGTTACACCTGCTCCCGAGTCAACTCTAGGATTGATGTCTGCAGGCTTTTATGTTTCTCTTTGTCCTCGCCGTTTCTGCTTTTCTTACCGTTTCCGTGAAGATGGCCAAAAGAGAGTAGCTAAAGTGTATGTCAGAATGGGGGCGCCGGGGAGAACAACACCTTCGTCCCAGTTCAGTCAACTCAACAGTCAGATCACAACAAGCTGGGTTTTGTGACAAAGGCGTTTGAAACAAAGGAGCCATTTTAAAAACTGAAATAAATTTATTTTGTGGCTTGCATGCTTTAGTAAATCCAGGTTTTCATTCTTCTCTCTTCTGCCCCTCCCCCGCTATCCTAATTTATCCTAAAATGAAGTCGAATAGGAGAAATGGCATCTCTTAAATCTTGCATCATCCCTATGCACTACAGCAAGCTCACAGTTTGCCTTCTGTTTCAAACATTTCCTTATGCATTTTTAAAAAACATTGTTTGGTACTGGTAGATCTGTGAATAGTTGAAGCAGTTGAGTGTGCTTGTGCTAAGGACATCTCGTCTCCCTAAGATGAGAACAGCAAAAGACTCATTAAGTGTAGTAATTTGGTAGGTGTTGCATACTTATGTCTATTTAGCATACTTAGCAAAGTGCAAGTACAGAGATTTATTGATTCTTAGGAGACCCTGCTTTTCTCTGACTTCCTTAAAAAATATGGACCACTGCGTTTCCAAAACAAGCAGGTGGAGTTACATCTAGAAATGTCTTTTGACTTGTTCAATTCTCATAATTTGCATAACATTTTAAACAGTATTTCAACTAAAACTAACACAAAACCACATTGCTGTAGTAATTGACTTATCACCAAGCCTAACAGATGCTCGGAGACAGGAAGCCTATGATTTTCAGGAGTGAAATCATGTGACAGCATCAGATGCTGTATCACTCTAGACAGAAAATCGGCACAAAATACTTCCAGGAAAGCACTAAACAACAGGAAAATCATGTAAGAGAAAACAGTTGTTAACTTTCCTGCTGGTTCACTGATACACAGTAAAACATGTTCTGCTAGTGTAAAAACCTGCTAGGGCTAAGCATATAACCAAAGTGTTTACAAATCCTTTGCCTGCTCAGCTCTTGAGACAGGACTTTATTAGCCATGGGACAGCATCACATTAGCTGCATTGACACTTGTGAACCCAAGAATTTCCTCTGATCAAACATCTTTCTGTCACTCATGCCAGGGAATTACAGCCCCATGAGCTAAGCTATACTTAAGCAGGGAAACTTCAGGGCTATGTTGCATTAGGTGGTTATTTCGTTATCTGTTATCTCCCCTGCACAACAGAGTCTTGCTACTGATTGCAGTGGTGGAAGCAGAGAAAATGCTGTTGCACAAATGCTAGTGTGTGTAGTGTTCCAGACTGCTGTGTGTATTTAAATCATCTTGTATTTTAAAGCTGTCTGGAGAACTTGTACTTAAAGCTAAGCTGTGATCAGCTGTAACCAATGTTAACAAAAATTCTGTTTAGTTGTACAGACAGGGCAGAAGTGCTATACAGAGGCAGGCAAGCTTTATTTTTCCCAAGGGGTCATTTGAAGTGTTAGCAGAAATTGCAATAAGAGCAAGCTTGGGCTGCCTGGAGATCAAATCTTGTTGGATTTAATGCCCTCTGGCTCATGAGACCTTTTTTTTTTTATGAACATCTGCTTAGCCTTCTTGATTGGAAAGCTTGCTTTATTTGACATTCTTTGAAATCTTTTGCTTGGTGATGTAGGCCAAAAGACTGCATGAAATATGGTACCCTTCTTGAATGCAAGCTTTGGGAAGGAGGCAAGAAGAGTAAACTCCAGGGTACAGTTTGCTGGAATGTGGGAAGGAAGCCAGGTGGTGAGATTCCAATCAGGAAAGAAGGATAAAGTAGGGGAAAATAAAATGAAAAATGAGACTGATGTAAAGAGATGTGGAGAATGGTTGTAGTAGTGCATGACTGAGGCTGTGGTTCAGGCTTAGAATCCTCAGCATCCATGTAACATGGCATGAGATCAGCCACATAACTGAGCTGGAGTGCTGAGCTGTGCTGCACCACAGGGTTTGCCAAGCCTGAGCTCAAGGTGGAAATACTGCTTATTCCTGCCAGGTGGTGGAAAGAGTAGTCTGATGGCAGAGGCTGTGGGAGCAGCTTCCCGAGTCATTTCTCAGTGGTACATGGGACTGTGTGGGCACTTCTTTTCAAGGCAAAACAAGCATTTCAGTGGTAAACTGACCTGTTTGACTTTGCCTTGAAACAAATTATGGATATGTTTACACTAGTAATTTGGCTCATGTCCAGCTTGAGTATCAGACAGATCCTCTGGAGACCTTCTCCAGTTGCCTTGTGGCTGTTCAGGTCTTGGAGCAGTCTTGCCACAAGAGACCTGAACTCTCCCAATGAAATTGAACCAGGACCCCTGCTCTGGGAGCACTCCCAGTCAATTACTGAGTCTTGTGTGAAAGATACTGGTTTCTTAAAAGTACCTCTCAGCTGTAATTGAGTGAGCAGTTCTCATCCACATTAGCATAAAACCAATGAGAAGCCCCACACCAAGTTTGTTAGCTTCAGGCATTTCTGGCAGTTCATTCTGGAATGCTATTTCCCACTCCCCTGCAAAATGTGAGCAAACACTTCTCAGCCTTCTGTTACAGTGGAGAGGCCCTTCAAGAAGATGGTTTCCAGCACTTACAGTGGGTATAGTACCTGAGTGGAACCATGTGGTTGGGCATGGTGTTTTTAACATGTCCCAGTCTGTCTGTAGATCCTCAGACTGAGCACTCTATTCTGGTTCAGCCAGCTACAGTCACAGACGTACAAAGGAGCCTGGAGAATAGAAGAAATCTGGGAGGTGCAAAGACTGGAACTGAAAACAATTGGCAGCCTGAGCAGGTGAAGTTGCAACTTGTTAGAGCAGATTTAGGAGGTACGGGATACTGCGGTCCTCATGACTGTGTCTATAGGAAATGGCGCGTACCTGTGAGCTCTCCCCTCTTTGGTGGTATTGTACCTAGAGTTATTTCACGGGCATTTTTAGTTTTAATATACTTGTCTACACTAATGTTTTAGCTGAGACAGAGAGTGTGTTTTTGAAGCAAATGTTCCAGTTGTCCATGCCTTTTTGTTCTTCACCTCACTTTGTGGACTAGTCTTGGGGCACCTGAGAATAAACAGGAGGAACTGTTTTGGGAGCACACCAACTGCAACCTGGCATTCAGTCCCAGGGACCAGGTTGGAGCTACTACAGCATCAGTAATGGATGTTTTGTTCAAAAACAACCAACCTTTCCTCCATCTATGTAGTTTCAATTTCAAATGCTTGGCACCACTTTTTTCATCAGCAGAGCCACTTCTGTTGATCTGTGCTATGCACTGATGTAGCTGTAGGTCCTGTGGTAGGTATGTATTTTGCCCCTCCAGGGAAGGATGCTTGAGTAGAGAGACTAAGGGACAGGACAAACCCAAGAAAATTAGTTATATGAGGTCTTGTCTCCACAGCTCCCTGCATCATGCTGCTAATCCAGTCACAGTTAACTGATGTCTTCTGAAGGTGCATAAGGAAGAAAGGCTGTTCCTGTAAAGAATGCTTATTTAGGACTGTGTACAACTGGCTATCAATTTCACAAACATAAGAGTTATTCCTTAGTCTATACACCATCTGCCACACAAGCCCATATTGTGTGCCTGTGTCTGAATCTGCCAAAAGTGAACTGATAAGTTTCCTAGGACCCCAAAATTCTGATGCTACTGGGATCAGTATATTGAGCAAGGGCTCCTGTGGCCAATTCCAGATTGCACAGATAATGAATGGAAGTTTTGCCACTGATTTTTTTCTTTTTTTTTTTTTAGTAGTCTTATTTATATATTTAAAAACAAAAATAAATCCCTACCTTTCATTGTCCTCCAGGATGCTTCAGGTATTGAGACTTGTCTGTGGTGTCGCAACAAGTTGTTACTGCGTTGATAATATTTGCACAATTGGATGGGCATGCAGGTGATATGAATTGGGCACCTTAGTGCAAAGCAGTCCTGTGGTCATGGAAACTAGTCCTCTTCCATAGCTCTGGTAGGCAGTTATAAGAGCAAGTCTCTCGTTCCTCTCCCACTCTGCTTTCACAAAGCCACATCCATATCAACATTGGCTTGGATGCTTGCCATCAAACAGGTTGTGCCTCTGAAACACTAAGATCAATGTGGGGTTTGTTAAATTTGGGATTGCTAGGCCTTTACGCTGTCAGTGTTGAGGCAGCCTGACGAGAACAGATGGATTGAAGGAGGAAAAGAGGAGTTGTTGCTGAACTGAGTGAGGAAGGGAAAGGAGTGATGGTGTTCCCATAGGAAGATATGGAAAACAGGACATACCTTGGGCACAAATTAAGAAAAGGTCATGGAATCTGCCCCAATTATTTGGTGGGTTACCACAACAATATTTCCCCTTTGGAAGGGAAA